TCATTCTTCACTTTTGATACAATAATATGCTCTATTTATATGCACACTTTGGTAACCACTACACCCTTATATCAATGCATATGAATGAGAGATAATAATGTAGGAATATGGGTTACATGTAACTCCCAAGTGAGCATCTAATGTGGTAATGGCAATGGTCATCCATATATCAATATTTACATAATACTCCCCCTTGGATGACCACTAGATTGCATTACGCTATCTCATACTGCCTCGTTAAAAACCTTACCAGGAAAACTCATTGGGAAAAACCATGGTTAAGGGAAAAAGAATGCAGTGCGTATATGCTCCCCCTCATGACCGCATCACTTCAGATTATTGAGTCGTTGAACTCAAATTTCACGAACAACTTTTAGAAAGATTGTTGTCGGGAGTGAGTTAGTGAACAATCTTCTAGATTGTCAATTTGATGCATGATCTTTAGATTTTCTTCATACATGATCGCCAGGATCATTTCCTTTGGAAATAGTTCATAACCACAAGTCCTTTAGATATGGTGGATCACAAAGTGTAACGAAATACATTCAGGACTTGTCTATTATAGTTTGTTTTGTTTCTATATATAACAGTTATATTACCATATGTACGAGATAGCTCGTCTCCGATCAACCAATATGAGGATCAAAGGTATTATAGGATATGAATATATAGTTCACCAAATATCTCTTTGATAATACCATAATAGAACAATCGCACATATTGTTCCCAGAGGTAACTAAGTATTTTCCAACGTTCCAACGAGGGAAACATTGTATCTTGCTAATATTATCAACACCAAAATGATAGTTTATATGGTGCTTGGCTAGCAAGGTGCATTGGTGCTCTGATGCATCAACATATGGTACTTCAGGACCTAATGTTTCACTTCTTTCTTGATTTCATAATGGATCTTTGGTCACTTCTAGTGATCTTAGGATCCTAATGTTATTTGATGAACACAATTCGTTCATGCAAAATTACTTTCCCACTTTTTCAACATTATCTTCCTTGCCCATAAAAAGGATCTTAAATCCTTCAATTTAACTTATGTCTCTAAGCAAGCAATTCTTTCATATCATGAAAGATATTAACAAAACACACATCATAGAAACATATGAACTAGACAAAACACACTCATAAAACACAACTCATACTTTAAAGTAAATTACAACTTATAAATCAAGAATTTAAAATCCTTGAAGCACATACAGACAACACAACTATATATGCACAATGAAAATGCTCTAATGACTCTATCCGGATTTAACCTTTTAAGGTCCATTCACCCTACTGTTGTAGGTGTTCACTTAGACGAGTATTTCATATTTGTCTATATTTTCTCAACCCATACAGGGGATATTCTTAGTCTATCATTATATGTTCTCGAGAACTTTACTTGTTTACTTCAGGTAAATTAATCCTTCTAGGAGTAAATAATCCTTCTGGGAGTTTCATATATCTATAACATCTTCAGGGAATTCAAACAAATAGGCTATCACAACAATTTTCAAACATTGATTTGAAAAAGTAGTTGCATCCACCACAGGGGAGTGTAACTCCTCCTAAACAATGATAGGTCTCTTCGAGAAACCCATTGCAAAAATTATGTGATATATCTCACAATTTCATACTTTCCAATAGCACAAAAATTTGTTTGTATCCCGCTATTTTTGCCCTTTTTTAGGTGCAAGGACTTCTGGTCCTTAAACTTTATGCTCCTTGAGCAAGTTTCATGATTTCTTTCTATATTGGCCAATAACATCATCATTTGCATGCATCAATAGATTTTTTACTCTTGATCCTCACTTGTATATATCATATTCAGTACTGAAGTACAACAAACAAATTTCGTCGACAATGACTTCATTTCGGTTCCAGTATTGTAATCTAATATGTTTTTGAGATCTCTTCCCTTTCACAACTTTCAGAGACATGTGTTCTTCTGGAACTAAAATTATACTTAATTCTTGGTTACTCTTCTTGAGTTTTCATGTCCTCGAGTTGACCATTCTAATTACAGCTCCTTTTCTTTCTCGAGGATGTTTATCATTGGAACCGATTGGTCTATCACGCTTCATGCGCTCTTTCATACACATTTTTGATATATTAGAGTATCCAACAAGGATATCAAATTTAGTTGGAGCATTCACAGCTAGTATATGTGACTTGGTCACTTCGTATGGCCAGTAAAGGCATTTGATAGTTGGTAATGATAACTCATCTTATGAACTTCAGGTTCATGTTTCTTACTTTGATGATCAAAACTAGATAATGATAACTCATTCCAACTCATCTCTTTGTCTAGCTGTTTTTCCCCCCTTAATGTTGGAAAAGTGATTCATCAAAACAATAATTTCGCAAACAAATTTCCCATTTGGGATTCATACTCAACACAAATTCTCAATTTCCAATGAGAATCAACTTAAGATACTGTGGTGGAGCAATTGGGATGTATGCGGCACACCCTGATATTCTCATATGAGAAATGTTAGGCTTTTGACCAATATCATTTGTAAAAGGGGGGAACTTATGATAACTTGTTGGTTAGATGTGAACCAATACTATCACTTGCCAGCTAGCATATCCTCGACAAGAGACCAGAAGGCTCAGTTTGTTCTCTTAAGAAAAGTGATGTTTGATTGGATAACCATCAAAATGTATCCATAGTGAGGCAATCAATCTCGCAAACATCGGGTTGCGATTAGATAAAATAAAAGTGATCATCCATTTGATACAGCAGCCCATAAAATTCACAAATGATCCACATGACTGATGTATTATTCTGCATACATGTCCATAAAATCTCAAGAGATTTGCCAACTCTTATACAAGCGATGATCAATTGTTCTATTCTCCTTGAGAACAAACATGCCATAATAACTCTTTTATTTGAAGGGTTCTTTGACTTCTCATATGATGTTCTCATGAATTCTTAAAAAACCTTTTTCACATCAAGATCCGGGATGGTCTAACCGGACCAACCAATTATCAAGTTATCAAATCTTGTAAACTTCTGGTTTACACTTTTATGTGTACTGATTGTACTAATATACATGTAGTACATATTTGTGATGCAAATATTAGTTTCACTATTTTCTTGATAAGATATTCATTTTACGAATATCCTTTTAATTGGGTAATGCATCATCACTAGGTAGTTTGGTTCCTTCAGGCCACAAAATTAGCTCCCTTTAAAGATTTATCATATTTTGTACCATATTCCATCCTTCCGGGGACTTATGATTTGATGCATTCTTAGTAAACACAAATTCATAGTGAATATCATCACAAATTGTTATCACGAGTACATAATTTAGTTACTTCAAGTAACCAAACATAAACTCTTCGGAAGCTTTTTCTTATTTATGTACTCTACCATATAGTTTATATGGAATTTTTCTAGTACTCATACTTTATAAAAACATAATAAAAGTAATAAATGAGAATATTTCAAACTTAAGACAAAATTGATGAATTTATCAAGTTAATTATTCTAGATAAAGGTTATCAAATTAAATTATGCATGAAAAATAACGTTACAATAAAACATAAAAGAAATAAGAATCATAATACTACAATTGTGAAAATTAAATAGGATTTATTTGGAACAATACCATCACTAACTAGATGATTTTAAATTTATATATGCGTTTCATTATACATTATAATGTACAACAGGTACATTATGTTATCATGACTTTGATAATGCAATTGTGGTGTCATCCTTATTTATAGTTATCCTTTTACTCCTCTTTTCTCACTTCTGGTGAAAAGATCCAAACAATACATTTAACATATATATAATTATGTTTATAACTCCATTCACTTTGGAGAATAGATTATTTCATTCACTTCTGGAAATGAAAATGTCTCAAGTGCAATATCATTTTCATCTTTAATGGAGAATATACCAACTTATAATACAAAAAATATGTTCCATAATATAGATATTGCAGGAGCGTATATCAATTAGCTTTTCCCTTTGATTCTTGGTAGAATAAGGTCTTTTGCGTACAACGGGTACGAGACAAATGCAATTTTCCATTACAATGGTAACATACAAAACCAATCTTCTTGTTACCATGTCCACTTCTTTCTTTGCCCTTGGATTCTTCAATTTCCACTTCTGGGGAATATATGGGCTCTTAAAACTTGCATTTTCCACATATCAATGTATGATGGATAAGAATATGATAACACCGAGAACTGAGAAATTAACTCATCACTTATATTACTTTTCTTGTTAATGTTACTACATGAGCAAATTTTAATTTACGATAATGTCAAAACACCAATTTAATTTTAAGGAATCGATGTATGTATTGTAAAACACATAATAATATAAATCAAATTACACAACCCAAAATTTTAATCCAAATAGATGTACGTGATAAAATATCAATGGATGGTATACTACGAGAAAAGAGTAACATCCATCTTAATATATTGGAATGAGATAATCTCACCACAAATAAGACAATAAGATAAGAAAGGATCTAAGATGTACATACCTTGATCATATTGTGATCTTACTCCAATATCTTAGATTATGTCGAGAGTCTTTGAGGCTTGAACAATGATAATTTTGGCAGAGCTTCGTGCTGATAACGTGTTATGAAACTAATGTAATATAAACAACTACAATAGAATATTAGAGAGGGAAAGACACAAAGAAGATAGGGGGAAGTGAGCTTTCTTATTCATTCTTCACTTTTGATACAATAATATGTTCTATTTATATGCACACTTTGGTAACCACTACACCCTTATATCAATGCATATGAACGAGAGATAATAATGTAGGAATATGGGTTACATGTAACTCCAAAGTGAGCATCTAATGTGGTAATGACAATGGTCATCCATATATCAATATTTACCTAATATATTTCTAATTTTTTAATTTCCCCCTGGGTTTGGTTTTTCTTCTCTTACCCTTAGAATTAAAAGAGCCGCCTCCTTCCTCTTCCCGGACTCTGCCAATTCCTAATCAACCGTCTCTCTTTCCTTTCCCCTCTCTCTGTCTCGGTCTCCCAAAGCCTCCGTGTCAAATTCCGCGTTTTCCCTTAAAACAACACTATAACAGCGAGTCAGCGACGAAAGCACGACAAACCTTTCGAATCTCTCTTTCTCTCCCTCTTCCCAAGCCCTCTCTCTGCGGCATTCCCTTTCGATTTTCCCCCGGTTCTGTGATTAAACCCAATTTTCTGCTTGAAGCTTCCGCCTCCGCCATTTAATCCTTCCGCTGATCCTGATCTGCCGCCAATCTCTAATTTCCCCCTTTCCTGATCGGAGTTCGGAAGTGGGTTTTGTTGGGTTTCCTTACTACTTCTCTGGGTTCTTTCTTTAATTGTTCGAAATTCCCGGGAGGAGTTGGAAAAGAGGGGAAACACATAGAGAGATTTCTGGGTTACGTGTGTTCGTTGAGGGGAGAGCAAGCGATGTTGACCCTATGGAACTAGTGGTTACGCACCAACAACGCCCAAGAAGACAACCAGAAGAGCAAGGTAATAATAACATATAGCACTAGCAGAGCACCATCAGCATTAGTAGAAGAAGTAAAATCACGATGACGCTTTACATTGGCCGGGAAGCTTCAAAGGTTTCTTTCTTTCTATCTTTACTATTTTATTTAGTAGAGCTTCTTTCATGGATTCTGCTCATTCTGATAAGTTGGGATTTTATTCTGTAATTCCTTGGGTGGGTGAAGCTATGGAAGAGAGTTTGTGCAGAGACAAGTACAGAGATAAATCTTCTAGCAGAAAATTGGAGATATATTCTTGCAGGCTTGATTTGTCAGGTTTGCTTCATCTCTTTGTCTCTCTATTTGATGTTTTTGTTTTGGAGGAAGATAGTTATTGAATTTACTAGCAAATTTCTTCACTGCTTCGTTCTGTATAGTGAAGCCTCCGAGAAATTCATTAACATGGAGAGTTTGTTGCTTTTCACCTTTTCCTTTTTTTAAATGACCGGCCGGCAAGATTGGAGTGGTTCAAATGTTATGGTCACTGTTTTCTAGATTCTTCAGAAGTTTGAAGGGGCAAAAAGAAAGAGCTTTATGGTTTTAGCTTGAGGATTGAGTCTCTGTTGGCTTCCATATGTGCTGCCGGGTCAACTATGGAACTCTCTCTGCAGGCCATGTAATCTTAATTTTCTTCGACTAGTATTGTGGCCTGTATTATTTTGGGAGAGGGTAAAATAATGGAGCATCTGCTGCAAGCCATCTGGACTCAGTTTTGGTTGTTTGGATCTTTGCCCATATGTTGTTGCTTTAAGGACACCAACAAGAAGGGGAATAAAGTTTTCGAAATGTTGCCATGTCTGAGAATTACAAGAGTTTTGCCCTGTCATTCCTTGTTGAGAGAACAGCTCATAAGTGTCTCGAGCAGTTTTGTTTGTGTTGTTTGCTTCGTGGTGTTCGACCTTTTATTTTGTGCCATTTTCTGTCTCTATTCTAACATTTCTAGTCTCATTCTGGCAGTACATTCATGGTTTGGCTGCAAAGGGCATTCATTATTTCCACCGCCCCGGACCCATTTTGCAAGATGTTGGGTTTTACCTACTTCCAGTATGTGTATTTCCAACTCGCGGTGTGCATTTGTATATTCGCAGCCTTCTTATATTTTAGGGGTCTACTTTTGTCTAACTAAACCTTTTGTACATATTTTAGGAGCTTGGCCAAGATAAAGGGCACATTAGTGAGATGCTGTTCAGCTGTGTCTTTCTATCATTTATTTTGGTAAGTTAGTTCATTGGCTCTAGTAGCACTGCAATCAACTCTATGGTTTACTTTGTCCGATTCTATTTTGATTTTAGGTTACACAGCTTCAGAAACGTGATTTTAGTATATATGATGGGATTGTTATGTTATTTACCTTAATGTGGTCCTTTTTTTCTGCTCTATTGCAGTGGACATTCCATCCTTTCATCTTCAAGGTCAAGAAGATTTACACAGTTCTATTGTGGTGCAGGGTTCTAGCATTTCTATCTGTAAGTTCTTTTATTTGTTCTCGTACTAGTACTCTGGTTTTCTTCTTCTTATGCGTTCTTTTTTGCCTTCTGTTTGTATGTATAAACTGAAGATTTCCCTCTCTATTATTCTCAGGCTTCCCAATTTCTTCGGGTCATTACGTTCTACTCCACGCAACTTCCCGGTCCAAATTATCATTGCCGCGAGGTTTGATAAAATTCTTTCATTTGTGCTGCAAATTTCGTTTATTTGAGTTCATAGATTAACAATGGTTCTTGTACATTTTTTTCAGGGCTCAAAACTTGCCAGATTACCACGTCCTCAGAGTGTACTTGAAGTTCTCTTGATTAACTGTGAGTGCGTTAATACCAATGTTCATCTGCATTCGCTTTTCGACAGTAAAAGAATATTTTATTTACTGAAATATGATCCTCTTTCAGTTCCTAAGGGTGTCATGTTTGGTTGCGGCGATTTGATTTTCTCATCACACATGATCTTCACTTTGGTATTTGTCCTGAGCTATCAGAAATATGGATCCCATAGGTAATATATGTCTTCTTGTCAGCCCTTTCCCAAGCGTCCATTGCCCTATTTGCATTAAGACAATGACTTATTGCGATTTGTCTTACTGTTCCATAATCTTCAGATGGATAAAGAACTTAGGTTGGCTTGTTGCCGTGGTTCAGAGCTTTTTGATCATTGCATCTCGGAAGCATTACACAGTTGATGTTGTGGTTGCATGGTAAGTAGGAATGTAGAATCTGACCTTTGACCATATTCTGGACTCATAATGCTTACAAAACAAACTTCATTTACAAGATTGCTGAATTAGTTAGCTCCAACGAATGAACATTTCTTCGTCTTCTTCTCAGGTACACCGTCAATTTGGTGGTATTTTTCGTGGACAAGAAATTACCCGGTATGTTGTGTGTTCTCTCTACCGCACCCTTTCTCGCTTTCTGCAGAACTGCTTTGGTAAACATGCCGACTTAGTGACTCTTTTCTTCTTCCTCTGCAGAACTCCCTGATCGGACGGGTGGAGCTGCAGCATTGTTGCTACCTTTGACTACAAAAGACAAGGATGAAAAGAACAAAGAAGAGAATCACAAGCTGTTGAATGGCAACTCAGTTGACGATTGGGTATAATAGTGAATTCCACTCTTTTGACCCTTTTGAGAAACAGCGTTCCTTCCTTCTCCAGTGGATGTCCTGATGAATGCTCTGCGTTTGTTTTGTCCTTTGTACCTCAGCGGCTGAGAAGCCAAGTGAATGGCAAGACCATGGAAGATACAAATGGTATCGCTCCTAACACGAACGCTATGAACGGTGCATAGGAAGACGAACGCAACGACTGAAGCTCTTCTGCCAGTCAGAGAAATTGCTCTGCTGCCTTAATGGACTACTATGGACTGGATCCACTTTATTCAGCATCATAAGGAGAGTTGCAAAAGTGGTGTTACTCTAGAGAAAGAAGAATATGAGTAGCCTTATATAACTTAACGCTTTAGCCGTCCTCTCCTCTCTGTTGTGTGGTACTGAAAAAAAGAGAGTTCCAGCAACACTTGGTAGCAAAATCATCGGTAGTCATCTTGTTTTAGTGTAATGAAAAATTTTCCCTGTTGTTTCTTCTTCTACTTTTGTTCTTTCATTTTATTTATTAATCATATTCTATCATTGAACAGTGAAACGTACTTCTCTTCGGTGAATTCAAGTATGGGGTCCGGATACTATAACAACAACCCTTGTGTTGTTATGGTAACATCATAATTCATTAAGGGCAAAAGAGTAAATTACACGGAAAGTAATAAAATAATTTGATTAAAATCCACTATCTTCTGTCCATATCTAATCTTCCTTCAACCCCATTGCGATGCTTCTCCTCCGCTTCCCTTCTCCCCCGTCACCCGCCGCCCCTGCTTCTTCCCCGCCACCCATACTTCTTCTGTCATCGGGCGTTTGATTATTAGCTGAGGACGGGCTGTATCTAAGCAGCCACCCCTGGGGCGGGCAGGCGGGTTATGGCCACTGTGAGTACTTCCAAAAGCGTGACATCGGGGACATCGCCATCGGGTACGAGATCTTCACCAACCACGACGGGACCGTCCGGATCAAATCGATGCGAACCGGCCAGTTCTGGTTTGCGGACCCTGAACAAAACATTCTTGAGTTTGAGGCCGATGACGGAAACGCCGAGAACCCGAGAACCTTCTTCCAGCCGGTGAAGGTGAAGGACAACGCCATTGCGCTGAGCAGCGTCCGCGCCTTCGGGAACTATTGCAGCACCCTGATGGCGTCGTCTGGGAGCAGGGACCACCGCGAACGACGGCTCTGGGCGAGCGAACGTTCAGACATGGCATTTTTGGGGATGGCATGTGTAAACTAACTATATACATAACATATCTGTGGCAGCACCAAACTGAAGACGACACCAAGAAACAGAGGGACAAAAATCCTTACTTGTAACCGGGGCGGCATCAATTATACTTGAGCAGATGATTAACAGGTAGAGTATCCCCATAAGCACTACAACGAGCGACCTACATAACCTAGGATTAGGGCCGATGCCTGGTTGCAGCCATTGCCTAACTTGAGAACAGAAAACCTTGTAATGTAAATAATAAATCTCCTGAAACATACCAGAAACACCATAAACAACACCACAAATGTTTATAAAGCATACCAGAAACCTCCTAATGCAAACCAAAAACGTCCTAATGCAGACCACAAATATATAAAAACAAACCAGAAACCTCGCAAACCAAACCACAAAAGTTTCGAAAGCACACCAGAAAATTCTTAATGCAAACCAGAAACCTTCGAATGCATACCACAAATCTTCTAAAACAAACCACAAACCTCACAAAACAAACCACAACATTTGCGAAAGCACCTAATGCAAACCAAAAACACAGTAAATCAAACCACAAAAAAGCAAACCATAAACGTCCTAATGCAGACCACAAATATATTAAAACAAACCAGAAACCCCTCAATGCAAACCACAAAGTTTTTGAAAACAAACCAGAAACTTCTCAATGCAAACCAAAAACACGATAAAACAAACCATAAAAGGCATAAAAAAATATGAGAAACCAAACCATAAATCTCACAATGCTAACCATAACATCCGGTGATCGTTGACCGAACTCCGGTGACCGTCAGTGAGCAGATTCCGACGCCGATAGGCATATTCCGGCCCCGATGACTAGATTCCGATACCGGTAAGCATATTCCGACGCCGGTAAGCATATTCCGGTGACAAAAAGCATATTCCGGTGACCGGCGACCATTTTCCGGTGACCGGTGGCAGAATTTCGGCGACCAAAATTTTGGGTAGAAAATAAAAAAAAATTATTATTTTTTATTTTTTTATTTAAATAGATTTTTCATAATGACAATTATACCCCTGCTTTGATTTTACACTAGGTCAACTCATCTAATAAAAAGTCATCACAATCCTAACTTCCTATTGGTTGGGGACTAGTGTTATTACAATAACAACACAATGGGTGTTGTTATAGTAACCGGTCCCAGGGAAGGAAAGAGACGCCAACAAAGAGTTGAGATTTTGTTCTATGTTAACAGTTGTGTTGGTTTCATGCAATGTTCGGTTGGGTTTCCAGCGAGTTACAGGCAGGCAGTTGGAAAACAAACAATGATTGATAACACATGTGCTGCCACGTGATGTTTTTTTCTTTGCCGCGTTGCCAGTCAAGACAGCGCCACAACCACATGCTCCCTCCGGTTTCCATTTCCGTCATGGGAGCACATGTCCGACACGGCAGTATTGTACATGTTATACACTCTCCCTTGTTTTGTATGTCCGGTGAGTAACCTTATGGTGAGTAACAATGAGTAACCCGTTCACGTCAGCATGACATCAGCATACCTCTCTTGAAAAGCCTTTAATTTTCCCCTTCTTAATCTTTAACGGACGATTTCTCACTCGTTTTAAGACGAAATTTAATTTTTTTTCCACAGTTAGATCAGATTAATTGTGCTCTTCAAAATGATATCCACTTTGATATATTTATTGAACAAAAAAAATTGAGTAATTTTTTACCAGTCTATACCATATGGTATTGACTGGTATTGAAATAAGAGCATACCTATGGTTTGAAAAGCGTACCATGGTGGTATGAATAAATCAAGACTGTAGGACGGTTGAATACATGATAGTAGAAGTATATTAACTGTCATTTACGACTTTTAACATTGTGTACCACAAGATACCACCCCGTACCAGGGTGGTATTGTATGGTATTGTGTGGTATTTTTTGGTCCTGTAATTTGTTCACCCAGAAATTTGTAGATCCAATAGATCATGATGAACTCGTTCCTTCTCTGCAAACGTTTTAAAAAATGAATTAAAAACGAAGAAGATACCATATGGTATGCAGTTGGTACCGAGAGACCATAATTTTTTTTCCTCAAAAAATATTGAAAATTGATGTCATTTTGTAGAGCACGATGAACTCGTTCCATCTGTGCAAAAAAAAATTAAAATCTGAGTTAAAATAAAAAAGATATGAGCCGATTAAGAAAGCTAGGAAAAATCAAAATGACCTTTAATTCTCCATCCTTAGATCTGAATTTTCTAAATGAAGGGTCCAGATTTGGTTATTGATGGGGTGCATAACCATGGATTGATCGGAAGGATGTTTGATCGGAAGGAGGGGTTGCAAGTATTGTGCTGACTACAGGGAGGGTCCACCCTGGCCAAGTATACATTAGTATTCAGATGGGTTAATAGCATTTTCTATTCCTTTATTATCGCAAATTAACAAATGTCCCCCTCTATTAATATTTTGCACAAACATATCCTTCTACTATTAAAATGTAACAAATATAATTTTTTGCCTAATTTTTTGTTAAACAGAGGTTAAGAGAACTGAAAATTACTTGATTGCCTCTCATTTGATGTTAATTTAATTTTAATTAATTTTTGTCCCACATATCAATTAAAATTAAAACAAACCCTAAAAAATCCCTTCACTCAACGACAACGAGAAACCATGGTTTCCGCCAAGCCCCAGCTTTCTGCAAGCAGTGGTCAATTCTACTCTCCATCAACAACACAAGTTGCCTAAAAATCACAGTTGTAACAAGGAAAGTGAGAAAACATGATGCATCTCTCTACCCCTCTCGCTCTAACATTTTTCTCTCCAGCTCTATACTCAAGGGCTTCTACGGCTACCATCTGCGGAGCCTTCAATATTCCCAAATCAGTTCTCTGCAAAACACTAAAGAGGGTCAAGGAAGATCGCAATGGAGTTACGGAAGAGATACGAAGCATTGAAGAATGGTCATTTCAGTCCAGGCCTACGACCAATGGGGGAAACACTTCCTCAGAGGAAGATCTCAGGAGAACCATCAACCCACCGCCCAAACCACCTGAGAAGATGTCAATCAAAAAGCAGCGGAGTAAATCAACCACCAACAGAGGAGGAAAAGGCCTTAAAGATTGGAAGGTTGGGGAAGCAAGAATTAATACAGTACCTCATAGTAGATCTCGGCTGCTTAGAGTGACACAAAGAATTTACTGTCACAGAGCACCTGTTGATGCCAAGCTCCGAGGAGCCTGCTTCAATGTGTTTGAGGTCCGGTGAGCGCCGATCTTCCTCCTGGCCAACGTCCGCCACCACGAGCCTCCGAGATGGACACCTGCAAAAGAGGAACCCGCCGGCCGGTGGTCGACGGGGACCTGCTCCGAAGCTCAAGTCAGTATTTGAGAGGAGAGTAACCGGGAGCGGCGTTTTGAGCTGGCTCTTGAGAGAGATTTAGAAGTTCCAATCAAGAATGAAATGCCGAGAAAGCATAATTGAGCGTCCTATTTATAGGTGTCTCATGCTTCTGGTGTGGATGGTGTGTGATAAATAAAAAAATATATAAAAAAAATACTTTTATCTCACCACCAACCTAATGTGCAATGGTTGGCGTGAGTAACACAAACACATATCAAACAAACTTATTACCTCCATTAACTTATTTGGTGGCACAAAAAAGAACATATGAACCAAACCATTTACCTTCCTCTTTCCCCTGTCCACGTGTAGTACCTAGGGCAAAAAGGGATTTGGGATTTTGTGGCTTGGGTGGATAAAATAGATGATAATGACAAACTACCACAATGGTTAATTGTTTGGGATTTGCTTATACTTCTCCACGTGTAAGTAAAGTGGTAAGAAGTGATGCAAATTTCTTGCATCCAAGTCCAGCTCATGTATATGGATTAGTGGGTGGTAATTGCTACAACACATTTACTCAAACCAGCAAAGAGAAATGGTAACCTTGTCACCACCATCATTTTCATGTTGCCGTGGAAGGAATTGTGGTGGCTTTGTTGGTGTGTATTAGAAACGAATAATACCACCCATAGGAAAGGATTAATTACTTGAATAGACAATTGTACATTTCCTTGGTTCTACCAGCTGTATGTGAGCAGTAGATGGCATGATAAAACCATATTCGTGGTTGGTAAGTTAATCCCAGTAAATTTGGTGCATAGTATTGTATGATGTCGGTTGAATACCGGGTCTATCAGCACCTGAGATAGAGACAGGGGAAGGCTACCCAGCAATCATGAGTACCCAGAAGCATAAATGTACAGAGAGGAACTAAGAAGGAAGTAAATGCACTGAGCAAATCTGTCCACCGAGATCTACACGAAATGTACAAGAAGGAAGATAGCTTACCAGAAGGAGAGATAGCACGGCTGATAGCTGCTACCACAAATGACAATTAAAAGGTAGCCCGGCAAAGAGGTGGAGCGGGGATGGAGAAAGGAAGCGGCAATTAATGCGGGGTGCATTTAGTGAGCCAACGAGTCAGACCAAGCAACCATCGAAGATCTTGGTGGCCTATATAAGGGAAGCTCAACCGGTAAGGTTAGCAACTTCACACCCATCCAATAACGTCTCAAAAACAAGCTACAAGAGACCCCCAGTTAGCCCAAGATCAACTCTTACATCCAGGAAAACAAATCAAGCCAGTCACCCAAAGATGAAAACAATGTCAGCGTATTTTTTGACAAGATAACAGAAATGCATATTTGTATTAGGTGTATTTGATTGAATATTGTTATCTATCGCAACATCAATACCGTGTAAGTTCTCTAAGATTTTATCATGATTTATGAGTAGATTTTATTTTTTAGTAATTATATCACATTCAGAAAATTTTATATACTTGGTTGATGTTCTTACTCTTTTTCAGGATTTGTTAATTGTAACATTCAAACATTTCTCTATTATGGATTCCTCGTCTTTAAACTAACCTCAAGCTATTTTACTCCAAATAAAGTAAAAGGTTGGACAAAAAGAGATAAAACTAGGTAATT